TGGCTAAGTCAGTTAAGTGCCTGCCTTCAGCTCAGTTCAGTGATCTCCAAGTTCTGGGATCAAGCCCCACCTCGGGCTCCCTGCTCAGTGGGAAGCCTGCTTCTCTCTCTCCCTCTGCCTCTCCCCTCCTCATGCTCTCTGTGTTTCTCTCTCAAATAAATAAACTCTTTTTTAAAAATCTTCACTTAGCACAGTAGGTAGAAAGCAGATTTTTATTGTTATAGACATAATAAGCACTCCAAACATAACTCTTTTTTAAATATATAGGTTTTTGTATAAAATGAGATTTTTCTGTCCTATATAGCCATGCTTAAAAATATTTATTTCTAAATACCATTTGTGACTAAACAAATAAGGAACCCTTGGAGAAATAACTGGTTCTACATGTAAGGCAAGAAATGTCCAAGTTGGGCCTGGGATATTTTGTCATACCAGAAAGCAAAGAAGTGATCAAAGACTACTGGGACCTTGTCAGAAGAACTAAAAAACCATCTTAAATAAGTTCTTGCAAACTTACCCCCAGTGGAGATATAAACTGTGGTGGGTTGAAATGTGAACTGAAACATACTTGCTATGAGTTCATAATTATACTTCAAGAATAACCTCATTAGTAATGTTTGGAGAATATTAAAGAACTACCTCATTATTTTGAAAAATGGTAAATACAGCAAATCAGACATCTGCCCTGTCTTTGTTATATTACCAGTACCTCAGAAGGGAAACTTCTCTTTGTAGAATTATTCTAGGTGATAAATCAAAATAAATTATAGTATATGACTCTAAAGTCTCTAAAGAATTGGTGGATCTAAACAAATACCATTAACAGCTAACAGTATCCCAAAGGGAGTCAGACATAGGTGTCTCCTGATGGAAGTTCAAACGCTGCAAGGTAGTCCTGCCTCCAAACCCCCAATTAGAACTTGAATCCTATCTGGCCTGTAGATCAAATGGCCTATTTATAGGAACAGAAAGGACAGAGGAATATGTCAAACCACACCAATGGGATGCAGTGACCAAAATCCAGATTGTAGAAACTGTACAAGGGGATCCCTGGGTGGCTCAGCGGTTTGGCACCTGCCTTTGGCCCAGGGTGTGATCCTGGAGTTCCAGGATCAAGTCCCACATCGGGCTCCTTGCATGGAGCCTGCTTCTCCCTCTGCCTGTATCTCTGCCCATCTCTCTCTCTCTCTGTGTGTCTCATGAATGAATAAATAAAATATTAAAAAAAAAAAGAACTCAGTTCCTTCAACAATAGTAAAAAAAAAAAAAGATTGCAAGGAAAATATTAGAAATGGAGAAGAAATCTATAGATAAAAGAAATTTATAGTACATATCAAAGAATCACAGTATATGAACCTTATTTTTCCAGATTCAAACAAAAAAATATAAGACATTATAATGCATATTTGATATTAAATTATTTGGGGGGGCACCTCGGTGGCTTGGTTGGTTAAGCATCTGCCTTTGGCTCAGGTCACAATCCCAGCATTCTGGGATCAAGCCCCACATTGGGCTCCCTGTTCAGTAGGGAGTCTGCTTTTCCATCCCTCTGGTCTTGTGCTGTTGCTCTCTCTCTCTCTCTCTCTCTCTCTCTCTCTCTCTCTCAAATAAATCTTTTTTAAAACTAATTTTATTTTGGGACGCCTGGGTGGCTCAGCAGTTGAACATCTGCCTTTGGCTCAGGGTGTGATCCCAGTCTCGGGGTCAAGTCCCACATCGGGCTCCCTGTGAGGAGTCTGTTTCTCCCTCTGTCTATGTCTCTGCCTCTCTCTCTCTGTCTCTCATGAATAAATAAATAAAATCTTATTTTTTTTTTTAATTTTTAGGTGTGATAATGCTATTTGAGTTTTTTTAATGGCCTTATCTTTCAGAGACAGATACTGAAATACTTGTAGGCAAAATGATAAAATGCTTGACACTTATTTCAAAATAAACTGGCTTGGGGAATGGAGAGGATTTGGGGCAGAGACTATTGACTAGTATAAATGGAACAGGATTGGCCAATATCGATAACAGTTGAAGCCAAGAAGTAAACACAACTGGTTTTTTATGTATTGAAAAACTTTCAAAGTAAGTTTTATATAAACGCAATTTTTCTTTTTCTTCTTTTTTTAAATGCAGTTTTTCAAAATAGAAATTGATACACACATTTTACATAAAATTATGCAAGTAAGGTACCTGGGTGGTTCAGTGGGTTGAGCATTTGCTCTTGATTTTGGCTCAGGTCATGATCTCAGCTTCATGAGATTGAGTCCCATATCTAGCTCTGTGCTCAGTGGAGAATCTACATGAGCTCTTGTCCCTCTGCTCCTCCCCCTGCTTGTGTTTTCTCTCTGTTGTATTTATAAATAAGTACATAATTTTTTAAAGATTTATTTCAGTATTATATGCATAGAATTAGTAAAGTTGCAGTTTCAACCAGGTTTAATTTTTTTTTTCTCCCAGTGTACACCTGTTAGAATGACCAAAATCTAAAACATTGACAATATCAAATGCTGGTGGGGATGTGGAGCAACAGAAACTCTCATTCATTAATTGCTGGCAGGAATACAAAAATGGGTACAGCCACTTCGAATAGACATGACAGTTTAGTAACTTCTTGTAAAATTAAGCCTACTCTTATCATACATCCCTCTTTGGTATTTACCCAAATGAATTGAAAACATATCCACACAATAACCTGCACATGGATGTTTGTAGCAGCCTTATTCATAATTGCCAAAACTTGGAGGCAACCAAGATGTCCTTTATTAGCTGAGTGGTGCATTCAGACAGTGGAATAGTCAGTACTAAAAAGAAATGAGCTATCAAGCCATGAAAAGACATGGAGGAACCTTAAATGCACATTACTAAGTGAAAGAAGCCAATCTGAAAAGGCTACGTGCTATATGATTCCAACTGTATGGCATTCTGGGAAAGGCAGAACTATGGAAACCGTAAAAAGATCTGTGGTTGCCAGGGATTGGTGGGAGGAAGGTATGAATTAGCAGAGCAGAGAGGATTTTTAGAGCAGTGAAGCTGCTCTGTATGACACTACAGTAGTAGATACATGCCATCATGTGTTTGTGACAACTCCTAGAATGTACAACACCAAGAGTGAACCCTAATGTGAACTACGGACTTTGGGCTATGATAGTGCATCAGTGTAGGTTCATTGATTGTGACAGATGTACCAGCTGGTGTGGGGTATGGATACTGGCAGAGGTTGTGTATGTGGGGAGAAGAGGGTATGGGGAAAACTCCATACTCACATTAAATTTTGCTGTGAAGAGCTCTAAAAAAGTCTGTTCGAAAAAGGGAAACCAGTTATACAAAACTATAGATAAAAATATTTTAAGCAAGACTTTTTCTGTATGTATCACCCTGATGAAAAGTTGGGGAAAGGTGTCATGCAGTGGTCAGAAGAAATATATTAATTAAAGGGAAGACTCGTGCATTTAGGCAGTACATATCTCTCAGATTATTCAAATGTTTTTATTTATTTTTTTGTGAAGACTTCGTCCAAGGCTGTTAGAGCTAAAGAATGCTAGGTGAGGATTTTTTCCTTATGAAACCTGCATGAAGCCTGTTTCAAAAGTGGATGTTCTCCGAAACTGATTTTTAAAAGTTGGTAGCTTACATAGTTTGCCTGCAGCCCTGCTTACCTTCTGTGAGTAGGGGGTTGGGGGGCACATTGCTGCATTCAGCATTTGTATTAAAAACCTGCTCTGTGTCTGAACTTAACTAGTCACCAGGTGTATACAAAGAATAAAATGGAAAAAAAAAATCCCTGCCCCCGTGGAGCTTCTATCCTAGGTCTATGAGGAGAAAAAGAATAGGAGATAAAGATGATGCCTCCTTGATGAAGCAGATAAGGGCATGCACCTCACAATTGTCTGGGGAATGGTCCTTGTTGAAGCCACAGCAGTGCTAAGGCCTTAAGAGCAAGTGAGCTTGAAGAATTCAAGAAACAACCTGGAGGCTGTCCTGATGGAGTAGAGTGAGGTAAAGGGTAGTAAGGAAAGGTGTCAGAATATATGAGGCCTGCTAAACCTTGGTAAGAACTTTGGATTGTGGGATCCCTGGGTGGCGCAGCAGTTTGGCGCCTGCCTTTGGCCCAGGGCGCGATCCTGGAGACCTGGGATCGAATCCCACATCGGGCTCCCGGTGCATGGAGCCTGCTTCTCCCTCTGCCTGTGTCTCTGCCTCTCTCTCTCTCTCTCTCTCTCTCTCTCTCTCTCTCTCTGTGTGTGTGTGTGTGTGTGTGACTATCATAAATAAATTAAAATTTAAAAAAAAGAACTTTGGATTGTACTGTAAGCTGAGTAACCATTGGAGGATTTTAAACTAAGGAGGGAAAGCATCTGGATTTTGTCAGTAGAATCACTCTGGCTGCTGGGTTGAGAATACGTGGTGGGGGGCAAGAGTGTGCATTGGAAGACCCAGGAAAAGACTACTGCATAGCACCAGGTGAGCATTGACCAAAGTTTGAAAATGCTTTGAAGGTAGACCCAATAGAATTTACTATTCATCAGATGTGGTGGTGAGGGATACCAAGGAGGCAAGAATGGACTTGGTGTTTCTAGCCTTTGCAACTGGATACAGCAGAGGTCCCATTTACATCTCCAAAGAAGACTACGCAAGGGGCACTGTTGGCAAGTAACGAAAGTATGATAAAATTACATACAAAGATGAAGGGTAACTCCAGTGCATGCTGTTATAGACCTGATAACTTTTTAATACCACACATAGATTTACAGATGACAGTGAGATGAAGTTAATGTGAGAAAATAGGTTATCTCAGAACCTTAAAAGCATTGGAGTCCAGCGGAGGGAGATGTAGTACTGCGTGCATACATGAAATTTAAATGTATCTTAGCAAATATGTGGAAGAGAGAAGAGAAAAAAGGCTCAACCAAAGCAGACTTTTTCCATCCCTTAGAGTTCTGCCAAGGATCCTGACCTTGAATAGGATCTTTTATGTTTTGGAGTTAATATTTTCCTTGTTTGTCTTTTTCTAGTTGGGGAATGGCGGTCAATGTGTATTCTACCTCGATAACCCAAGAAACTATGAGCAGACATGACATCATCGCATGGGTTAATGACATAGTATCTTTAAACTACACAAAAGTGGAACAGCTTTGTTCAGGTAACAGATTCTTTTTTTAACTATGTGTCTACTTAAATGTTTACTGCTTATCTTGTTGAATGTTATTTTATGAACTACAGATGATACATCTTAGGAAAAATATTCATCAGTATTGATACATGATTAAAGGGGGAAGACTTAGGTATAATTAAAGAATGTGATCATGGGCATCACTGCACCCCCTTCTTAAAGAAAAAAAAACCTTCCTACAGGAGAAAATTCATTCTTTTTCACGGTTGATAAAGTTCTTTCTGTTTTTGCTGCATCCTGTCTCCTCAATTTCTCCATCTCTTCTCATACCCCCATGCCTTACTCCTACAAAATGCTCCTTGTTCCCTACAGACTACCTTTTTGGATCCCATAACTTTTTTTCATGCTATCTTTGCTGAGAAGGTCTTTCTTCTTTTCATTTGTGTCCAAATCTCATTCACACTTAAAAATTCAACTCTGTTGTCACCCCTCTAAAGAGTTTCCCAGATCTCCCAAGACACTGTGCCCACTCTTCCAAAGTAGCACTGAACCATGCTGTGTTAGAAGGTCCAATTCCCACTCCCTTGAAGGCACCAGAAGTCCTTGAGGACAGGACTGGGTCTTATTCTTGGTCAGATGCCTACAGTGGCACCATGCCTGGTAGATCTGCAAGGAATGCATATTGAGTTTTTTTTTTTAAATGATTTGACTTCAGTGATAAAGTAAGAGCATGTTATAAAAACATGCCACTGGTAAAGTAATTCATTCTTAGAGTATTTATCAGAGAAACTGTCTTCCTTTGGATATAGGAAGTGTTTTCTTCTTGTGAGCTTATAGGTAAGAGATTTCTTCTCTGGTTCTGACATGGAAATGGTATTGGAAAATATTCCTGAAATGTGTTCATGTTAAATTCCACAAGACATGACAGCTACAAGAGACTTGGCAGATTGAGCTGCTGCAGTGGTGTCGGTACAGTGGGACAACTTTCTCTGGTCGTTCCCAGGGGATCATGCATAAAGAGATTTCATGAAGTCAGAATTTGGAAAGCCCCCAGCAGCCCCCCTCAGATAAGCCTGAGTCCAGTGCCCATAAGTGACTATATTCTCCTTTGTCTGGTGAAGTTTTGAGAATAGACTCTTAGAGGACAGACTTCCGTTACTATTGACACCTCTTCTCTCAGGATGATTTGTCTCCCGAGGAACACGGTGAGGTTGGCTAGAACCAAGGCATTACCTCACTCACCCTCCTTGTGCCCAGGCCACAAACCTAAGTCCTGTGATTTGTGAGGTCAATAATGGAAGCTCACCAACCAGTTCTTTGCCCTTGAGCACAAGCTAAAGAAAAGCTGGCTTAGACCGTGATGATTAGCAAGGTCTATATCATTGGCCTATTGACATAACTCCAGCAATGACTATGAGAAACAGCGCCTGTTGTTTTATCTCATTCAACTGCATATCTCTACCCAGCCCTATTTTATGGAACTGTTCTTGCTGTGCATTCTAGAGCACTCCAGTATTTTACTTTTAATCTGCTGGGAGTTAAAAAAACAAAAACAAAAATAAAAAAAAAACAAACCCAGAGCTTTCTGTTAGCAATTCCTTTGTTAATAGCGCATATCCCCTCAATACCGTAATTGTTTGTAGTTCCACTTTTCCACAGTGCCTGATATATTCTGTTCCCTCAGAAATGTGCATTTCGGGAGGAATGAAAATCAGTTTGCAACTGCTAGGGGCAAAGACAGAAATGTGGATCTTACTCTCAAAGTGGGTGTATGCACATGTGGATAAGGGGAATGGGGATTGGTTATCAAGAAAAGAGATGAGACACGGGGGATCGTGGGAGAAAAAGAAAAAAGAAAAGAAAAGAAATGAGATGAGAAGGAAGGAGTACAGTGGTAAAGGAGCCCATGAACAGCTTTCTCTGTAATAAGCATAGAGGGTTTGTGCTAGCAAAAGCAATGGAAGGCAATTAGGATTTTTTAAGATAAAGTAGTAATAGATGTAATAAATGTTGAAGTTATATATTTTTTTTTCTTTGCAGATCTTTCACATGTCTAATAAGGCAAATTCAGCAAAATTTTAAGCTACATTTGTGAAATATTCTTGTACAGTTATCTTAAAGCATTGGTATAATTTTACAACCATCTGTAGCTATGTTGCTATCAAGCGTGGTTTGATGAAACCTGTAGAAACCATTTTGATCACTACTGAACAGATAGTTTGTGTTAAAATAACTCACAGGCTACCTATGGTTACGAGGTTGATGATTCAGAAAAATAGATTTAAAGGTTCCTTTCTGCTCTGAAACAGTTTTTTGCTCAAAAAACTATTGTATAGAGATTAACATGGTTTTTGGCCTAAATCATGTTAATCTGTGTAGTACAAAGACAGGTCTTTAATTTTAGGCAGTAGTTTCCTCAAACTGTGGACCATATGCATTTATAATCTCCTATGGGGCTGCTTAAAAATGCAGATTCTTAGGATCCTTGACTTTCTAAATCAGAGTCTCTGGATATGAAGCCTAAAATCTGTATTTTAACAAGCACCCCAGGTACTTTTGTGCTGTGGCCAAGAGCTTGCAGTGCATTTTAGAGAAACCCCAAACCACTAAAAATGAAGTAAGAATATCCAAAACCTATTGGGCACAGTTTCCTCATTCATAATTTAGTCTGTGACTCTTCTCTTCAGCAATGGCATTTAGCAGGAAGATGCTATCTTTCTAGTTATTTATTTATGAGTTTATTTATTTATACCCTTCATTGTTCTAGAAGACATTTAAAGCAGCTAGGACAGTGCTTTTAGGATAAGAACAAATAATGGTGACTTAAGTGATTTCTCCGGCTTCTAAGTAGTCAAATTCTTGGATAATATTTTTTTCTTCAAAAAAAATATTTTTTTCTTCAACCTCTATTTCAATTACTTCAGTTTATTGTGTGTGATTGTATTTTAAGTATGCTGTGGGAAAAAAAAAGTATGCTGTGGGAAAATACACAAAATAACTTCACGTATTTAAACTGATCTTTTTCCTTATTCAATACCATTATTTCTTTTTGCTAAAGTCTTATGCTTTAATTCTGGCAGTTCCCCTGTGGCATTTTTCCCCATTTACATTATTTTCTATTTCTTTATTTCCTGCTAAGAGATCTCCCCCCAGCTGATACTAAAAGTAACATCAGCTTTTCTTTAGCTCATAGAGAAGTTACACTACTGTTTTCACATTTGTCTTCCTTTTTCTTCAGAATTCTTTGCCTTTATAGAACATTCATCTATATACAAACATTTTAAAAGCTCTTTAAAAGAGAGGTAGTGTGAGAAGGCCTGACTCGGAGATAGATTGCAGTAAGTTGCAAAAACAATGAAAATGACTCTTCTTTCCTGTTATTTTATCCCAAGGATGTAACCTTATGAAAATTTCCTTTGAACAGTAAATATGGGTCATAGAATCATAGGCACTTTCAGTTTGCATTCATTTCTGTGAAAAGCAACCTTTACCTTTCAGGTGAGAGATTGGGCTTTATAAATAGAAAGCAGTGTATCGGTGGATGTGAACACTGCCTATAATAGCAGGATACTGTACTGCTCACCCAAATCTGTTTTAAAAATGAATGGGGGGGGGGAATAAAAATGAATAATACTGTGGATTTCCCATAATTGAACAGGGATTGAATCACATAAAATGCCAGATTGATTCAGCTTCAAAATAATTGTTTCTAGTTTAAGTGCTGGTAAAATTGCCAGTGCTCTTTGTGGGGTGAGATACTGCATGTTTACTTCAGTACCAGCTCAAACCAGTGACTATAAGGTACTCAAGATGGAGGATGGGCAGCATGGTGCTAAAAATCCATACCAAACAGCTTTAACAACTTGAGATACCATGTTAGAGATGACAGAAAAGGTAGCAGATCATATGGAGAGGAACGGAAAGAAATGGAAAGAGGAATTTGATGGGGGTGGAAGAAATATACCTTTCCTTTTTCCTCTGTACCCCTCGTCCCCTATTCTAACACACCAAATATTCTTTGAAACTTTTGGCATCTGTTTTTCTGTGTCCCCATCCTCTCCTGCCTACTTGGGATCTAAGCAGCAAAGCCACTGGGTCTGCTGCTGAGTCACTGCCTGGGCTTGGCCAACAAGCTCGAGATCACTGGCTCTCCCATCCCTCCAAAGCCTAGCGCAGACTGGCCTTTCTCCTTCCCAACCACTCCACAGGACAAGCAAACCGCGGACTTATTACACATGCAGATACAAATTGGATGTCAGGTGGGCACTGCCTGGACCCTCACTATGCTGGTTAACAGCTCAGCTATCTTCCTGAGCATTTTAGTATTTTTAGTAAAATTTAATTGGAATTAAACTTTTTTTTTTTTTTTGGATGGAAAATTTAGGTATTCTTTTCACTAGCTTAAAAAGAAAGAAACACGATCAGTATTTGATTCAATTTCAATTTGTGCTTCTCCAAATTGTTTCAAGCTCTGCCTTGGATCAAGTTTCTCGTATTTTTTTTTCTCTCGGGAAAGCTTCTAGATTCAGCTGGTCATATTGCAGTTACTGTAGTCACAACTCTGGGTTCTTGATGGCTCTCTGGAGGTGGGCTTCACAGAAACACTCAGGGGTTCACAAAGGTGTGGCTGTCTGATGCCCCGGGGCTTGTGCAGGTGCTGGGAGCCTAGCAGAATATTCTTTGTGATCATTTCTGGCTGCAGTCTGTTCCTGTTAAATAGGTTAATCCCATCCTAGTGTGATGTCCCCTGTGTTTTTTTTTTCTTCTGTCTGCAGAGACCTCTTTCAGAAGGACAGGTTAGTGATGAAATCAGCTCAGTCTAAATTTAGTAGACCTCTTGTTGGCTCTCTTGAACTGAAACCAAGTAAGGATGTTTCATCAGTGTCTGTCAGTTCAAGACCTTACTTAGTTTTATAAAGTCAGATTGTTATTTGCTGTAAGAAAGTTAATTCCTCTTGGATTGTGTTACTATGGTTATAGATGTAATTATATTATAATGGAATATTATTCATGTTTGTGATGTATTATGT